CCCCCCCCCCCCCCCTCCCCTCCCTCCCCTCCCTCCCCTTCTCTTTCTGTATGTTTGAGTCAGCCAGTATGGTCTTTTATTGTACTTTCTGTTCTTCCTAGGCATTGGGTTAGTTTGTCCTTGTAGCCATAGCTGCACTATTTCAGGTGCCATTTTTCTGGAACACCATTTTCCTTTAGACTGGCCTTTGATAAGGCTGACTGGTCTAAGTACCTTTCCTTCAGAGTGGCCTTTGATAACTCAGAATTGGAAGGCTTGATGGAAGTTTGTGTTGAAGGTTATTCTTTTGTTCTCCCTTCTTCTCTTGGTTAACCTCTGAGCCGACTTGCATCGTGGTGACTTTCATCTTCAGATTTACCCAATACAAAAGAACATGTTGAAGTGAAATGAGCCACTCTCCTACTTGCTTTTTATGTCTGCTATATTAAAGCTCTTCCTGAAGTATTCCAAGTGCTTGTAAGACCATCTTAAGAAATGTCTGGGTAGTTACAATCTTTTATAATTATGAACTTCTGCACTCTGGGTAACTCCTCAGGTTGCTGTATAAAATCTCCATCCACCATGATTCAGTGGTCTGTTTCAGACTTCTCACTTTAGCAGCACCCCTATTTTTCACAATTATTAAGTGTACTCTTTCTGCAAAACTTTCTTTTTTTTTTTTTTTTAACTTTCTGCAAAACTCCTCTGTATGTTGGAGCTTGGCTAGTATATATCAAAAATGCATACTGTGCAGCATGATCTATCCAGTCATACTCTCCTAAATATTATGGTAGTCAGGTGAGTTATTTCATCAAGAATGCAGGTTGGTTGAGTCAGTTTGATCTGCTAATTTCCAGTATTTCTTGTCTACCTCGTGTTGCTCTAGCTTCCCCCACTGCTGAAACCTATAAAGAGAACAAGGATTTGGTGAAATCTTCCTAACAGTAAACTGTGGATGGTTCCTTTGGGTATTCTTCATGCTTAACTTGGTGTTGATTGAAATCTCACATGGTCCAAACAAGTGTATTGATTGTCATGCCGAACTGCTGGGAGGCATTGTGGGTGCAGCTGCAGACATCTTAGAGCTAACTCATCTGTGATTGTAACTGCAGTTTTTAGTCAGTAAAAGGCATCTTTGGGGGTGCTAAGAAAAATACAGAAGACTTGCTAGTTGCAGAAATTAAAGGCTATGTAGGATGTGCTACCCTGTGGAATGTGAGGTTAGCATTTGGGTTCGCAGTCACCCTTGTTCTAACGCTTGGCTTGAAAGGGAGGAAGTGCCCAAGCTACGAGAGAAGAAAACCACATGACAGGCTGGATGCTTGCTTGTGCCCTTTTCTTTGTTCTGAAGAGTTTTGGTCATTTTTGGTTTGGTTTTGTTTGGTTTTTTTAGATCCTATAATGCGTGTACCTGATTTCTGTTGTCGATTTTTCTTTTTTATTATTTTTTTCCCCTCCTTCTTATATTTCAATTATGATGAATGTTAACTGAGAAACAAATCATACTGTTTGCAGAGCTAAAAGCAGAAGCCAGTATCATGGACCAGCTGAGTAGCTCTGACAGTTCATCTGACTCTAAAAGTTCTTCGTCCTCTTCATCAAGTAGTGAAAATAGTTCTAGTGATTCTGAAGATGAAGAAACGAAGCCCTCTCTTCCTATGTCCATGCCGTATTTGCAGCCGCAGCCTACTGCGTCTGCCATACCACAACAGGCTATCCCTGACAAAGACGCCAGTCATAACAGATCCCAAGAGAGCAGTGGTCATATGATGAATACACTACGTAAGTACAAAGGCTGTTCTTTTCTTAGTGCACAATTCCAGACATCAAGATTCTGAAAGGAAACCATATTGTTTTTAAGTATGTCTCTGTTATAATTAAAACTGTGGGAAGTGATGCTAGGGTTTGATTGTTCAGCAGCAGTCTGAATTAGACACTGGGCTAGAAGGTTCTTGGTCCCCAGAGATATTAAATTAAAGCTGATGGAGTTGAAAATATTTCCTAAGCTCTTCTGGCTTTCTACCAGTTATATACATTGGGACTGGAGAACAGTAATTTTGTATTGAAAATACGTGAACTAACAGGGCACTCCCAAAACATATGCTTATAATTTCTTGGGTAGAACTATGGGAAAGATACTGTACTCGCAATACTCTGAATTACAGAAGAGATGGCGTATTCTTAGCTACTTCAGTTACTGTTATTCATGGCACTGTTCCATTGGACAGCATGGCCAAACTGCCCTTTGCCTATGAGGAAGGAGGCGATGTGCTTTCAGGTGATACTATCTTATTCCACTCATTCAGGCAACTAAAAATGTAATTTGAAGAGCAGCTGCGGTGTTCTTCAAGAAGTGGTTGGTGCGCAGCCTGGAATTGAATGCTCAGTGTATTCAAAAAAGTATAAGTAGGACAGAAAAAAAATCCCACCAGGTAGAGAATCTTAAGTTCACTACCTAAATAGCAGTATTCATACATAGAAGTGAGTATTCAGCTATGGTGAGTCTTCAAAAATTATTACATTTTTAATTAGGTGCTTTGCTGCAGGCTCCCAGTTTGAAGAGATTGCCATCAACCCTGGTTTGCAGCCTGAGTTCTTTAAGGTTTATCATTTATATGTAAACTTGTTATATTGAAATCTTAGACTCTGGCAGATCTACTTTTATTTCAGTACTTAATGGATAACATGAACAGGGTTTTTTTGTAGCTAGTATTTAAATACTTAAATATCTGTGCTGGTTATTACGTACTGCATTAACAGATAAGATCAGACTGAAAAGTCCTGTGACTTCGTGTGCAAACGACTAAATGCTGCTTTCATTTTACTGTCACTGTAGAGAACAATGTCTTCAAGTTTATAATTTGCGTAACTTTAAATGTGCCATTTATTTCAACGCTTACTCACAAATGGGATTTCCCTTTCTTCATGCTTTAAATAAAACTGTTATGAAAACGAGATTAAGCTCTATCCCTAGTGACAGAATCCCAGCTGGCAGAGCTTGCACTGAGAGATACACTGACAAGTACAGGTGGCCAAGTCCACCAGTTCCAACAGTCATAGTGAGAAAATGCTGCTTAAAACATGACAACATCAAAACTCTTACAGGTGAAGTTGGTGGCTTGGTGGTGCTCAAGAACCATGTTGACAGGTAGAACCTCTGTCTGTAGCATCAAGCCTTGGGCTTGACTATCTGGTCTTGCCTAGATCTTTAGCTTGATCCCATTTACTTCTGTTATGGTTACAGATCTATTTACTGCTTAAAATTATTCTGTCCTGAACTTCCGGTACAGTTAACACTTAAAATACACTTCAACTAGACAAAGATCAAAACAGTTATTTTCAAGGAGAATGTGTTTCTCTAGCTCTCTTGCTGAGACAGTTTGGCAGGAAAGTGAAGCCTGGAGAAACTAAATGGGTAGCACATGGTTCTAGTTTGAATGACAAGAGTTCTCGGTTGGGGTCCTGTACAGTAATTTCTTCCATCTCAAATATGTTTTACAAAAATACAATATTGAATCAACAAATGTCAGCACAACCTGTTTGCTCATCTAATCCTGTTTTGAGGTTTGACTGCTTATGTGTGTGACTAGTTTTGTGCACCTCTGTAGAATCGGGGCCATACTGGGTAATTAGTGAAGCTTTTCTTTGCCTTGCTGTGTGCAGGCAGAAGACTGGGGGAAGGCTTAGAGAGCAGAGTTTCATCTGGCATGTAGAAATCATACAGCTGAGGTTTTGTGGAACTTGGAAAACACAGGAGGTGGTGTGTAGAGCGTGGTAACCACATACTTCTATCAGATATACATAATCTACCTCTTCAGGAACTTGGGGCTCAAGACTGCCCTCACCCTCAAAATACTGCTTCTTCCCCTTGCTACCTTCAGAAGCTGATTATATAGGCTTACAACGTGCCTTACAACAAAGTTTGTAAATGGTGGCACTAAATGAATCTGTTCTTTGCAAGTATTTGATAATATGTTACTTTACATCTACTTTTTGTTTAAACAAGAGTTACGTTAAATAAAGTAATTTTCCAAAGAAAAACCAGCATAGATTGGCTATTCTGGGGCCTTTTGCCATGTACATAGTATTCAGCATAACTTCACTTCTTTTGATACATAGTGCTGGTTCAAGCAGCTAGTGATGAAATAATTTTCCCTTGTATTAGTTTGGTGTTGCTGTGACCCCTAAGATCTGTGAAACGCAGGTCATGCCTATGAGTTTTCCCATTCCCTATAACTCGCAATTCAATTGAATATATTATAGTAACTGATTTAAAAGTTTAGGAAATGTCATAACTTGCAGTGCAATCTGTTTCCCCAATTAATATTACTAATAAGCAATTGGCACTGCGAAAACTGAATTCAGCAGTTTTCCCTGCTTTATTGCTAAGTACAATAGAGTCTAGATGTTTCTTCAGAGTCCTAGTTAACTGAACTTTCCATTCTTGCACCAAACCCATCTGAAAACTACCAACTCTATCTAGTCTGTGTTATTTTGCCATCTCTCTGAAGGTGTCTTCTGGATGTAGCATTATAAAATGGGACAGAAAGTTTTCCCTGAAGTAAATCCTAATGCATTATTTCTGACTCTGGAACTTGGAGTTCTTGCTTTTCCCATCTGCTGGTTTTCACAAGCATTGGTATTTTTGGCTGGTGTTATAGGGTTTGTGTAATTTCTATAAACTATGTTGAAACAACTTTTGAAGGCTGCAGAATCACTATTTGGAAGGTTATCTTGTTTGTACTCCCAGTCCTCTCCTAAAGTAGGTAGTGCATAACAGGACTGGGATTTCTAAGAATTCACTGTAAGTTTTCCTTTGAGTGATAAATGCATGAGTTTAATTTACTAATGCTATTCTCTGCCTTGAAATATTATTTCTTAGGATAATGTATTGTCCTGAGTAATTATTGACAAATTACTTGATTTTGTTCTTTCAAAATTGCTTTTTAAATTTATATTAAAATAATAGGGCTGTAAATGCTGTCTATATAAAGGATTGGAAAAAATTTGGCTACAGTAGTACTTTTTAAAGATTGCTGGAAACAGCCATCTTCACTATTTTTGTCTTACATAAAATGTTTTCTGTTTTGTTGCAGACAATCATGTACCACTTTCTAAGCTTTAGTGATGACAGTGGAAAACAAAGGATGGCTAAATGCAGCCATGTTAAAGACTTCAGTGTTTTGGCAGAATTGATATGCCTGATAACAAAAGATACAATCTGAGTGTCTTGTTGGGTTTACCCTCTTGAGGTTACTTTCTTTTACCCATCTGTAAAAATGATCTGTGAAGGGTGCTGCAGCTGAGGCAGGGGCATGTGAAAATTGTGTGCCTACTTGGTTTCAGTGATTTTTTTTTTTTTTTTTTTTCCTTTGCTTTTTAGGCTATTTCAGCACAACATGAGATGCATCCCCCCCCCCTTTTTTTTAATGGCTCTTTGGCAAGGGAGGTGTGAATGAAAGCATACTAGTTGGAACAAATTCTTAAAAATGCGTGGGAAGTTGCTAGATAAGATGTAGATTCTGTATAGCATGCTGCTATGGTTTTTTTGTTAGTTACCTGTCATCCTGGAAAGATTCCCTCCCTCCTATCCCCTAAGCTTATGGACATCCATTGCAAGCACAATATAGTCTTTCTTACTTCCTCATTTTGAAATACATATAGCCACCAAATTAAAGTGCTGTGTAAAATTTCTTTTGATGTTTTGTTTGTTCACTTGTTTCAAAACCTGTTTGAAATAGTAGGTCACTGATACATCTTTAAATGGTACATCAAAGAGCTGCTCTTCTTGATTGAGACACCACTGTTTTCAAGCACAGCTGAGTAGCATTCAGATGTGTGTTTAAAAAAAAAACCAACTCATTTTTCACAAAACTGCATTCACCAGCAGTTTTCCCACTTATGAAGCATGAAAATGTGGGTGGCCAAGATAGCTAGGTGTTGTCTTTTGTGATCTGGTGATACTAAAGAAATGTACTTGTAGCTAATAAGCTAATGGCTTCCTTGCCAAGATTTTGAAATTGTAGAAATGTGATCTTTCTAAGGTTCTGTCACTGGGCAGTTTGGTTGTACACCTATTTATTTTCTTATCATAGAATAGTTTGGGTTAGAAGGGACCTTTTAAAGACTATCTAGTCCAACCCCTCCCAACCTGTTTGGTATTAGTTCTTGTAAGCCTTTAATTGGGAAAGGGAATATCTTGAAAGAAGGAAAGTATTTCTGTGAAAATGACTAATACGATGACTCTCTTTCTTCTAGGAAATGACTTGCAGCTGAGTGAATCTGGAAGCGATAGTGATGACTGAACAAATTTTTGGCCTTAAATGTATCACCTTTTTTGCTAAATATGTCTTAGCATCTGTTTTGCACTAAGATTAGATTACCAGAGACTGGAATGAATGTCCTCGATTTTGATAATAGACATCCTAATTTTCTACTGACACATCATGTCTATAATACAGCAGCATTGATACCCTGTCAGTGCTATGGTTATGTGTTTATCTTTCAAATTACTGTATTTACAGTAAAATTGTGTATGATCCGATTTTGATTATTTTTGCCTCAGCCACCTGTTTTACTTGAAACTGATTTGTAACAGCTAGTTACTTTATATAAATAGTTACAGAATGGAGAAATTTCTGATATTTATGGAGGCAAGTTTCCTTTCTGTCATTTAAATGCTGAATGCTGATCTCACAACTTTTACTTGGAGGGGAGTGAAAGGGAGAACAACTAAATGAGGTCTGCTCTGTCAGCTACACTTTTTGTTCAGTTCACAGTTCATACCTTTAAGGAAACTGCTGAATAATGTGGTCCACTAGTGCAGTTACAGTTTACAATTGTTCAACACATTGCTGAATTCTTAATTTCATTGTATTATAGGACTTTATATTTCTGAGCCTCAAGATTCCTAAGGGAACTTGTCTATTCTCTGCCTTTTTTTTGTAACTTGAATAGACTGGTCTTTTTACAACCTTTTTGTATCTAAATTTAGATAACTGCAAGTGACAGCAATGAATTTCCTTCATTTAATTCTGTAATGGAAATCAGAAAATTTCTTTGTAGGAGTATAAAAGTAATTTAATAAAGCAATATTTATCATTTTCATGCATCTGACTGTTTTTACTGGTTAAGAATTCCACTTTCTACGTGTAGTAGTCCTGCCAGTGAAAGGGTCGTGCAAGGAAATAAAGTAGTGAAACGGTAGTAATATGGACTCCCCACCCCGTCTGCAAGACTTAAGTGCTTGTTGCTTTTGCCTACAATGATACAAGCCCTAGTAAGAGCTCGCCAGAAGTTTATGGTGGTGCTAGTGTACTGATGAATGTTTATTACAGATTATATCCAAATGCCATTGGTAAGTGATACTGTGTTAGACAAGAAAAGGTGTTTGCCTAGTCTTATTTTTTCCTAATTTGAAATGATACTTCAAGACCTGAAGAGCTGCAGGTAGGAGTCCAAATTTCATCCTGTAGTTTACTGCTGAAGAGTTTTGTAACTAATTGTAGCGAATGTGTGTAGGATGAATTCTGATGAGATAAATCTGCTCAGTCTCACACAGAAGTCTCCTTTGCTGGATTGCAGTGATTGAATTGCAGCTCTGTGTCTGAACTGTGAGGATTGAATCCTATATGTCTGCACGTTCAGGCTTACATGAAAAAATGCACACTCAGGAAATTTATACAATAGATGGTATTAGACTAGCTTATTCTCTCAACTGTGCTGCGAGTATCAGTCTGTGCTTACCTCTAGACAGATGAAGATGCCAAAACAATGTCCACCTCTCATAGAGGAATGTCTTTTGGTACCACCAGACAGAAATTGAATACTGGAAATGCTGTGTTCTGATGCTTCCCCACCTTGCGCTCTGTACCCCAAACTACGGCACTGGTCCATGCTCTGCACCAGGTAACAGCTTGCTAGTTTTCCAGCTTCCTAAAGTTGGTATCATAAGAAGCGAAACACTTTCTTGTTTTTACTTGAAGGGAAAACCTCAAGTTAGTAACCATGGGTGAACAGGTCTTTGAAAAGAAAAGGACTAATGAGCAACCTTGAGGAAGGATGCTATGTAATAACCACCACAAGATACTTGGAACTTTCTCAAGGGAAAGGGTATTGAGTTCTCTGATGGATCATGGCTGTTGGTATGGGAACTCTAGCAGAGTACATGGTCCTTGGCATCTGCTGCTAAAAAAGTCTGCTAGGGTGATGTGAGGAGCTGAGAAGTTGCAGGCAACCTTAGGACAAAGGAGCAACCCTATGTGCTGAATAGAAGGCGGTGCATCACAATGCAGTGTCCTGAGCTGAAATGTCCTCTTTTTGCTTTTCCCCTGTCCCCAGTGGTTTATTTGCATCAAAGCCTTCCTTTAGGCCTACGCTAAATTCTAATTCTAGCCAGAATGCTGCTGTTTTTTCTGAGTAACAGTGCATTCAGGGTGTATGGGAGTGAGCAGATGTGTGGAAGCACTGACCAGGCTAGGGTCTAAATCATGGAGAGTGTGTGTTCTCATGGGTTATAATCACTCTTCTAGCGATCAAATGGGTGAGTACCATCTATCTGCCTGTATCTGAATATAATTCCACTCACATGTATACAGGTGCTTAAATATAGCTCTGGGAGTAAAGGAGATTTCCAGGTTCCTGAGTGTCAGGACTGTAACAGCCTGTGCTACCTTTAGAATTTGATCTTTGGGTTGAAAGCTTTCTAGGACGGGAAGAGTCTCCGTTAAGCTTTTGTATAGCATGTAGTACAGAGTGATTAGTGGCCAGTCAGGCACTACCCAGTATAAATAAGTATGTGATCTAGATGGATATATTCTGTGAAATGCACAGTTGTGATAATTCAAGAAAGGTTCCCTTTAAATATCAAGACGGGAGATAAGATTCTGGAAGAGTTCTAGAAATAAGGGGAAAAAGATGACAGGCCTTAAATACGTGAAGGAAAAAAGGTCTGTATGCCGTATCCAGCCCAAATGTACATGAGCTGACTCCCCTTCTCAAGGTAGGTGCCAAACAAACATAGGCAAGCGAGCTAAAGAGCTTGCTTGGGCCTGTTGCTGTACAGAGGGGATTGGCTTGGATCTCATTTGACTTGCTGGGGGTATTTCCTCCCCTAAGGCTTAGTTTGTGTGCCCTGAGCAGTGCTAAGCCCCCATATCTCCTTCTGCAGGGTGTTCTCAAATGGCAGGAATGAGAAGGTGGTTGCATTGAGATTTAGAAGCATGAATAAGGGTGGTATTCTAGCAATAGAAAAACAAATCATGTTGTCTTTTTTGACGTTGGAATTATTTTTCAGACCCTGATTAGAAAATTATTTTCTTCTCCTTTAAAAACAGTTTTATTCCTGTGATGTCAACTTAACTAGAAATGAATAAAATCAGTAATTGCTATAGGTTCCTATGACCACTCTCCCTACGACCTCTGGGTGCCTCTTTCAAAATAATCTTCTGAAATATATCTGGTTCTATCTTGTTCCTTTCAGCTATTTTGTCTTTACATCCAGAGATTTAAAGTTTATGTGTGTATGTATCTCTAAGCAGTAGATATATTTGAAGAATATTTTATTGTGACATTATAATTAAGCTATTGTGTATGTTTTGGATTTGAGGAACA